CTCCAAAAAATAAATACAAAAAAAGGATATATTTGGAAAACAATTCTGCAAAAATGGTTCAAACAAGGACATTAACACATAAATCTAACATGACATATTAATTAATACATGCTTTGCAGATTATTAGGGAAGGTTGTTGACTTGACTTTTGTTCGACAAACAGTCATTTAAACCTTCCACAAGGAGCTCTTTAAGCTTTGGAGGCATATTAATAAATAGTTGAGTGGAAGGAAAACGTTTGGGACAAATAATCGGCATAAGCAAAAAAGATCATGGTAAAGTTGCTGCACTTCATTAGCTGAAAACCATGACTGTTAAGGTAATATCACTGTCTGTTTGATGATATTCCAATTAATTGAAATGACCCAATATTTCTTTTTAAAGTCCTGTGATTAAATAACCTGCAACACCAAAGCTGCATGAGGTCTGTGTGATGTATGTAGCAGCTGACTCAACTGGCTCCAGAGTTTAATGTTGGTGTTTGTGCATCAGGTGAGGGTGGTCCAGGGCAAGGAGCCAGCCCACCTCATGAGCCTGTTTGGAGGAAAGCCCATGGTGGTCTACAGGGGAGGAACGTCCCGGGACGGAGGTCAGTCCGCCCCGGCGGAGACTCGACTCTTCCAGGTGCGCTCCAACTCGACAGGGCACACCAGAGCCGTGGAGGTAAGCAATCAGACATCATTCATCGGCTCACCTCACAGCAGACTGTTTTTATTTTTCTTATACCAGCTTCAGTGTAAATTTATCCCATGAAAAGGACGGATGCCAGCAGAGAGCAGCTCCAACCTGCTGAGCTGCGGGAGAACTCAGCCCTTTGTGCCTCAGAGCAGATTAGAAACACATTTGTGAGGCACAGTGTTGAACTAAGAGGTCTGTTCTGTTATTATCAGAAAGGCTGTGGTCTATTTTGAAGCACTGTCCTGCTGGCATATTAAATCTGCTAGATCTGTATTAATCCGCTGCTGAAAATAGTCCCCGAACACCATTTGCTCTTGTTTGACTGTGGATTGACAACGTGTCCCGTTAGGACATTCACTGCGAAGCACGGACTCTTCTGTCCTCTATAATCTCCATGAGGCGCTGAAAGAACCACGCAGACATTTTATGTTGTTTAGGAAGAAGGAAAGAGCTTTGAAGGTTTGGATGTTAAACTGCAGAATGTTTGTGTTCCCCCAGCTTGAAGCAACGGCGTCCAACCTGAACTCCAATGACGTCTTCGTTCTTGTGACCCCTGATGGTACCTCCATGTGGGTGGGAACGGGTGCCAGCGACACAGAGAAGCAGGGAGCTCAGCAGCTGTGTGACATCCTGGGCGTGTCGGCCTCCTCCGAGCTTTCTGAGGGAGGAGAAACTGGTGAGGCATCGGCATTGTTTCTTGAAACCTTCCTGTTCTTTTGCGGTACGACTGTCAGACGCAGGTCTATTTAAACCGGTCAGTTTTTAAAATGAATTCAGGTGTGAATTGATTTTACATCAGGAAGTTTGAAAAATAAATGTTTCAATAGTTTTCTTGACAGGAAAAGGATGACTTGCTCCTCCCAGGTGGGGTTTTAGGTTTTGTTCAGGTAGTTGCTTATAAGTGTAATTTTTGTCACGTTTTTCTTAAAAGGGCTTTGAATTTAAAGCCTTGCAGGGCAGCATAAAGCCCACTGCTCTCATTAAGCCATTAAAAAAGATAAAAAGAAAAATAACAAACTGTCGGTTCAGGTGTTTTAAAAAATATGAATCAGGAAATTGTCTTTATACCCAACTAAACCAAACTGTTCTCTGCTTAAAAAACTTTTCTAACAAGGATAAAGAAAAACTCATTTTATTTCAGTGTTAAATTCTGTTTAAAGTAACAGATTATAATTAAAAATGACCTTTACTGGTTGATGATTTTCCTTATTCGGACCCTGCTGATTTTTAATCGGTTACCCCTGATCTAGAATATAGATCACAGTTATCATCGGGTCTTATAAGAGGATAATGATCCAAATGATACAATCAATGCAGAAACAAATGGTTCTCAGAACAAGAACCAGCCTGCTGGGTCTGAGTCCACATCCTTTAATAATCCTCAGGGCTGGGCATCAGGCAGGACCCAGGAGATTAACAATCTCTCTCTGTTTGCCCCAATCCTGTAAATTGTATTTTTGTAGGTGAAAACTAAACGCTGATCTGCTTCAAATGAAAATTTGCACGAAGCATTAACCGACCATGCAGGGGTGTCAATAATTATAACTTTATGGAGAACTAATAGTTCCTACAGTGACTGTCTTTAATAGGTACAGAAACACATTCCTGACCCATCATCATGTTGTTTTTCCAGATCAGTTCTGGTCCGCTCTGGGAGGGAAGGCAGAATACCGCACCTCCACCAGACTCAAGGACAAGATGGATGCTCACCCACCACGACTGTTTGCCTGCTCCAACAAGACAGGGAACTTTGTCGTAAGTGTTTCCAAGCTACTAAAAAACATTTTAAGATATATCAGACATAACAGAAAAAAAAAACTCCTGCAGACTGGATTTTAGCTTCACCTTTATAATGAAAACCAAAGGTTATAAAGCGCTTCACCCCTGCATTCGTCCCTCCACACAGATTGAAGAGGTACCCGGGGAGTTGACCCAAGATGACCTAGCCACTGATGATGTCATGATCCTCGATACCTGGGAGCAGGTAAACAACAGGAAAACCTCTCGATTCCTGTAGGCACTGTGAAAATAATGAGGCAAATTAATGCTGAGCCGGATCTTTTTCATTTTAGGTGTTTGTTTGGATCGGGAATGAAGCCCAGGAGGAGGAGAAAACTGAAGCCATGGCGTCTGGTAGGAAAAAAAACAGACCTGGGCGAAGAATATGCACACATTATAACCACAAACTGATTGATTGGGATTCATGTCGCAGACCAAAACATAGGAGAAGGAAAAAAATAAATGAGATGAGAATTTGGATTCGGTGCTCCTGGATCAACACTTTGTTGAACCACCTCCTGCTGCCTTTCCAGCTTAGAGTCCTTCATTTTGATATAAACCAGCCCAGTGGAGCTCTAGCTGCATGGCTAGGATTATCCAGCCTTTATTGCATTCTCAAGTCTCTTCCAGGAGCTTTTCCACAGCATGATGCTGCCACCTCTATGTCTTTAGGTTCTTTTTCTAATATAATAGTGGCAGCACACATTAATTAACAGAGTCATACTTTGGCATCTGACTTATTTCCACCTACTGTAATTTAGCACATTTAGACATAAATAGACATAAAAGAGCATAAAAGATACTGTTGCTCTTACATATCTGCAGAACTCATTATTGCACACTTCATATTAGCAATGGCATAAAGTTTGAAATTTCGCACCGATCTGATTCCTGAGTTGGCCACTGAAAAATAGGACAGGCAGGTTTTTTTATAGAGCTCATTTCGGTGGAGAGACTATTCAAAGCGCTGTGCAGGAGAAAAAGAAAAGCAACACAATAGTTAAGGAGAATAATAAGAGAAACATTGGGCACTGCGGTGGTGCAGGGGTAAAACAGGCGAACCATGTAGAGAGGGTTTGATCCTAAACAAGACTGTCACAGCTTTGGATCCCGGCCTGGTGACCTTTGCTGCATATCTTCTATGATCTCATTTTCTGTCTGACTAAAGGCCTAAAAACGAACCTAAAGAAAGAAATGCGTAAAAAAAAAAAGAAAAAAATGTTAACAAACCTGTTTTTAATCTCGAAAAAAGCAACAAAGGGTTTCTAACGGAGGTTTGCTGACAGAAGATAGTAAACTATTCCAGAACAAACTGCCAAAAAAAACCCACCAAATCCAAATGTTTTGCTTGTTGGCTAAAAAAAGTTGCATTTTAGGCCCACGGACCTTCATGTGTTCGATTCGATGTTTCTGCTAGCTTGACTGAAACAGTGAAACACAGGTTTCTGCAGCATTTTAGGTGATGCAATTATTGAAGTTGGTTCTGCTGGAGCAGGGATACGGGGGGTTAAAAGGAGCACAGAGGACAGCTCCTCCAATCACAGAGTGCCCCTGGGCTCCCTTTCAGTTCAATCCTCTGACTGTCGACTTAGGAAGATGGCCTTGTTTGGGTCTGCGCATTTTACCTCAAATTCCAGATTCCGATGAGATGTTTAAATTTTGAGATATTATTTTAAAACTTTGCTCTGGCTTATTTTTTAAGGATTTATATTAAAAGGTGCTGAATAAAAATCCACTCATTACAAACCCCTAATAGAATATCTCACTGAGCTTCCTTAATGAGAGATTCTGATCTAACATCCAGTCACATTTTCTCTCCCCCGTCAGCCGTCCGTTACATCCAGACCGACCCGGCTAACAGAGACCCTCGGACTCCTATTGTCAAAATCAAGCAGGGCTTTGAGCCGCCCACATTCACCGGCTGGTTCCTGGGCTGGGATCACGACTACTGGACCAGTGACCCATTGGAACGGGCCATGGCAGAACTTGCTCTGTGAGCGCTCACCCTATCATCCCTTCCCCCCCCTTTCTGCCTCTGCTAGCATTATTTTAAATACCAAACTTGCTTTTTAAGTAAAAGATTTTTTTTTATTTGTGGTTTTTGTGCTACTTTAGTGCCTTCACATTTATATCCGAACCAATGGTTAGAAGAAACTTTCACTGATAGGTAGCAATGCTGTTTTGCACTAAATATATTTTAAAATAGTGACTTTTATTCAAGATCGCTCTAATTTTGTATTGAATCCACAGCTCAGATGGAAAACAAGCAATGCCTTAATATCATTTCCTTTATGAATTTAAAGGTACAGCTTCAAGTGAAGAACCCGTTTGCCAATTTATTGTTTTTACCTTCTTCTGTATTTATTTCTCACAACCAAACTGTAATCCACAGAAATCTTCCTTCAGTGTCAAAAACAGACTCTGGGTCTCTTTAAAAAAAACATCTGGTTCTGTTTGAAATAAACCAAATTCAAGATGTGATGAGTTTTATGTCTTCTTTTCATTCACCTGCCGATTCAAAAAAACAAAAAACTGCATTACCGTAAGATTTGGATACCATCTTTATTTAAAATCGTGTACAGGCATTGAATGTTAAAATCATATCAAACAAGCTGGTAAAAGGCAACAGCACAAACCTAAAAGAAATCATCTTTTATCAATAATAAACTTGTAAAAACGTGATAAACCAGCTTAAATAATTGCATCGAAAGGAGACGCGATCATAAACGACACTGAGCAGTTGATCTGCAGGGTGCAGAGAAGCTACTGATCAATGTTTGCCTTAATCAAACCTTCAGCTTAAAATGACTGAACAGCAGCTCATACAGGAAATACTACTGTAAAATGTAACGGCTTTATGATAAAACATGTAATAAAAGGTGATTCTACTCACTACCCACACAAAACTACTAAACAACACACACAGATCAGCCAGAATATTATGACCGCTGAGAAAACTCTCCATATACAACTTTATTGATTATGTATAGATTTCTTTTCATAGATTAGATAAAATATTTACCTCGAAATGCCAAATGCTTTATCATTAATCAAGGTTTATTATCTACAGTATGGGCTGAAATTTTGAAGTTTTCATAATATTATTAATGAAATTTAGGATATTTGAGCAGAAGATTTACAAGTTTGCTTTCCCCCCCCCAAAATAATACCCATAAGTGAGGTAGAAATAAATGATCTGAAGGGGTGAAAGGCTGCAGGTACAGAAAACCAACATGGACAGACAATTGTTTTCGTCAATCTAAGACAGGGGTCTGCAACCTGTGGCTCTGGAGTCAAAATGTCTCCTTGGATTCTCTGCAATGGCTCTTAATGATGGCTGAAAATGATTAGATGCTAACTAATAATTTAGAATATGGTATAATAACAAATAGCAGTCTTAGATGCTTGGTATGCTGTTGTATTTTTCTTATTACATCATAAAACCCTTTTTTTTTTGGGTCATAGTAGAAAATCCATGCCTTTGTTGGGGTGTTTTGGCCAAGTGGGTTAGAGCAGTGCGCTTGCACACTGATAAGGGCGCAGCACAAATGCAGAGGTGAATTTTTTCAGTGTGAGATTTATAAATATCAATTAATTAAAAATGCATTCTCTTTTTTCAGATTTCTTTTTGTTTGCACTTATTTTAAAAGCTAAAATAGAAAACAGTAGGTTGTTTAGAACTGTAACAGCTTTCCTATGGAGGATATTTATCAAAAATTAATCTGCGTTTTAACATAAGGTGATGTCATGTTTTCAGCTCTAAGCTGCTTTTATTTAGATGGAATTGGGGATAAATGGCTCTTCAGATTATAAAGGTTGCAGAACATTGATCTAAGTGAACCAAAAAACAAAAAAGCTCTGATCCATGGAGGCTTTTACTGATTATCCTGGTTTAAAGGAAGTGGTGATAATTTAAAGGCTGATCTGCGTTTTGAAAAACACAACAGTTAAAACTTACAAGATGCATAAACTACATTTACTAACAGTCTAGCTACTGAAGATGCATCTATATTTTCACAGGTTAGTATAAAGGTTAATACGTTTTTGGTTTGTGTTACACTCAGAAAATATGGCATAAAAAGGGTTACATTTGAGAAGAGTGTAATATTAACCCAGATGGTTGGTTGGCAGTGAGTTAAGGCTTTTGGCTGAAAGATTCGTAGCCCCTGATTTTTAAAGAGTAAGAAATCTGAGGATAGGATGAAATGAAAAGGCACGACTGATATTAATGAACTATACTATTAGATATATACTCTGGGTTTTGTCAGCTTAATAGATAACAGGTATTTAAAGCCTGTATTGTCCACTAAATACTTCATATACTGTGAGTTGATAGAAAGCTTATAGTAAATATGTACAGCCAGATAACATAAAACTTTTCAGCTTATAAGTGGATTAAAGTAACAGTTTATCTATTTCCAGGAGTGCTGGCTGTCCTCCCTGTTTTTATGTACAGAGCCCACTCTTCATACCCCTTGAACCTCTCAACAATGTGTCCCAATACAACCCCGATCTTTTAGGAGTTTTATGGGATGGATCAACACAAAGTAGAGCAGAATGGATCCTACATTTTTTTTACGTATAAAAATCCAGTAGTGTTGCATCAATAAAATCCATTTCGAATACCATGAGAAAGAAGTTTTGGTTTAAAAAACAGCTGTTTCTGTTGGATTGAGGACATCAGTAAGAATACAGTGGGGGCTGCATCATGCTGAGGGGACTTTCTTTAGCAAGGACAGGAAAGCTGGTCAGAACTGATGGATGACATTCAGCCTGCAGGAAACTGACAGAGGATCAATTATCCAATTAATCCTTCTTATAATTAAGTGTAGGTCTTCCATCCGTTTTCTTTCACTCCGTTATCATATATCACTCTGTGTTGTTCCATAACATAAACACCAAAAAAATCACTCTGAGGTTTGTGGTTTTTAAAGTGAGGGAAAGTGAAGAAGGTCAAGAGGTGTGAAAAATTCTACAAGGCACTGCAAGAAAAGAAAGAGAGCGGTTAGCATGATGCATCTTTTTCACTGGCTGAAACACGACTCTTTTTGACCCTTTGAGGTTAAAATACTGAGTTTAATAGTTTTATAAATCATTTGAAAATGATTCCCTTGCTGTTTGGGCAGCAGTGGTAACAGTGTTACAATATCAGGATAGATTTGGAGTATGTGTGCGTGTGAGAGCAGAGGCAGCTCACCCATCCAGCAGGAGCTTTAAATTAAAAACAGAATATGTAAAGAGTTGAGGTTAAACAGTTGCAGTTCAAAAATTAAAATCAAAGAAAAGTAGCAATTAGCTACTTTAGAAACTCTGCTGGTTAAAAGCCTAAAGCCTCATTGACCTATAGGTGTGTGTGGTTTTTTTTTTTTGGGAGGGGGCATAGAAGGAGTTTTCCCTCAGTGTTTTATGAAGCCCTGCATCATCTCCAGCGGCAGCGGGAAGATGATGGTGGAGTTCTTCTCGGCGGCGATGGTGTTGAGGGTTTGCAGGTAGCGCAGCTGCAGAGCTGAAGGGGACTCTGCGATCACTAGGGAGGCCTCCTTCAGGGCGCGGGAGGCGTTCATCTCGCCCTCGGCAGCGATCACCTACAGGAAGACAGGAGAAAGAGGGGAGACCCTTCATTTCACGGCTCAGAGGGAAATAAAAATTAAGATCTGAGTCCATTTCAGAAGAAAAACTATTTAAAGACTACCTTAGAAACACTTTTGTCCCAAAAACAGCAGTAATAAATGTCACCTGTTGCTCATTTTCTGGACTCATTAGAAACAGTATTTGAACCTACATGTGATCCTCCTGGTAAAACTAGGGACAGAAAAAAGCTGGGTAGAGAATCTTTGTCGTAAAGGTGCTTTGTAGATCATCACAGCGTTGGAAGAAACATGCAGGTTCCTTTGGAACCTTTTTACTTTTGCTGGTACAGAGCTGCAATAATTCCTTTCTTTGTCTTTTTAGTCACAATGACATTTTTAGATCAGACCAATCCCTATATTGGCTCGAAATTCTTTCAAACATGCACAGCCTGGTTAAAGGAATTGTAGAAGTCTTTTTAAAAAGACCCGCCCGCCTTCTCCACTAAAAAAAAAAAAAAAAAATGCACGTGCAAGAGCATTCACGAGCCCATTTCCCCTCGTGCACGAAACTGTTTAAAATGTGCTGTTCTCATAGCTCATACAAGCTTACCGTTTCCACCAACAGTGGGGACTATATAGTAAACTTTGTAGCAAACTCAGTTAACTGACTGTTTGGACAGATGATCACTGCTTTTTGCCTCGTTGGTCATGTAACTCCTCCTCCACTGCGCGGTGCCTGCGCAATCTTTGTTATTAGTTGCCGCTGTCGGGTAGCAACAGCCTATGTGGACAGCGGGCCGCTGTGACAGCAAATCCCATGCTTTGTGAGGAGAGCTATCTGCGCAAAGCATTCTGGGATATATCTGCCTCTTCTGAGGCTTTTCTTTTCTTCTCAGACACTTTTTCTCTTACGACCCTCTGCCATTTTCAAAGAACCGCTGTGAGAAAGGTGAGCTTTAACGACTGGACCGCAGCTCTGGTTTGGCTTTAGGGATGCTGTGTGGCTGACTGAGGTGTGGGCAGTGCTTGAACAAAAGTTTTACTATTGTCTGATGGGTCACTGATATGTCTGCGTTTTCCCCTGGGATGGTTCATCATCCGCGGACTCGCTGTCAGAATCTGAGCCGCTTTCTACCCAGTTCTCCTCATCGGTCTCTCCTTCTCCGCCCGAATGGGTATCATCCATATTTTAAAGCATTTCTAAAGCCTGTTTCGCTGTTAGATTTCTTCTGAAAGCCATTTTTCCATATTAGCCAAAGAGTTCTAGGTAGGGTGTTGGTTGCTAGGCAACGGTACCGAATGTCAATCAACCGGGGGAAGAACTTACAGCGCAACTAATAGAGCCGTCAATATGACGGCTGTAGGAGATCGAGGTAAAATTTACCATATTTATTTTTTTACGTTTTTATTTTATTTTAAAAAACTATGTGAAAATGAAGGAAATATAGAAACAGAAAAAGTCGATTAACACGAGCAACATGATTTAGTTCTTTCTCTTTAAAATCTCAGAACCGTCAAAATGAAGGCCTTAGGAGTTCTAGTGTTAAAACCCATATTTAATCCTAATCTAGTCTGTCCTACGCTAATAATGAGCAAAGGATAACTTTACTGTTCAGTAGGATGAAGAACAAAAATGAAAATAAAATCCTGTCTACACAAATGATTTTTTAATTCACACTGAGATCCACTATAGCTCCAAATCCCTTCCTTTGTTTAAGAGGAAAATCACCACCTCTTCCTGTGAGAATCTGACATTTCCTCTCTTTAAGCATAAACATCCTGCCTAAGTGATGCATTTCAGATGATCTGTTAGCTGTTCGTCCTTACCTTGGCTCTGGCCTCACGGCTCGCCTCTGCCTCGGCTGCCATGGCTCTCTGGAGCTGCATGGGCAGCTTCACGTCCTTGATCTCCACGCGCTCCACCTTAATTCCCCAGTCGTCTGTGGCGTCGTCCAGAGTGGACTGAAAAACACGGCAACATTAGATCAACACATCTTTGTTTTAAGCACTGTCCAGCAGATAGACAAATCAAAGCTGCACCTTACAGAGGAAACCATCACTCTGCTGCTGCACTGAACAGTCACAGGAAATCACTGAGCTGATCCTATGAAAACTTTACTGGAGAAACTGAATTGAAGGCTGCATTTAGTTACAAAGTATGATCTAGTATCAAGTTTATACATTGTAAAGCACTTTACCTTCAAACCGAGAGCTTTGTTGGAGAAGGATGATTTGTTTCCTTTAATAACTAATGAACATTTTAAATCAATTCATATTGTACACAAAGAATCAATTAACAACAAAGATCCCCTTCAGCGTTTTGTAATTATGCTAATGTCACACTTCTGTTTACCTTTTAGCACTAAAATGAAAACCAGAAATATTTTCCCTGGATTTTGATTTAAAGTTAAAATCAATGTTTTTATCTGAGTAATAATGTTATTGTAACTTAATGTTCTTGCCAGTTGCCAGCAAAAATGATGTTGGGTGTGTTCATGGGCACTGTTTATATTTTCTTTTTTTTAAACTGTGGAGAAGTTAAACACGGTTTTAAATGTTTTATTATTTTGTTTTTTTTAAAGCAGAAGAAAGAACGAATTTCAAGTATGTAATTTTCTTAACTTGCCCTCGTGTGTATTCACTGGCAGCTAAGAATGATGGCTCCTGGGATAAATATGTTCATCTTATTATCTTGTGATAACAAAATGAAAATATCTTATCACAAGATGTGATCCGTGTGATCCTTGTCCTGTTATCTATGGACAATAATAGTGATTTTCTAATGGGCCAAGCAGATTGTTACCTGAGGTAATTGCTGTTTTGAAGATCCAAAAATTCATTTCTGTTTAGAAATCTGTCTTTTAAGCGGATGCAGATAGTTTGACCCTTTGGTAGCTTTGTGTTACAGACCAGAACCTTTAAGTTACATACTTCATCTGAAGCTTATCAAGGACAGAATATCCATACTAAATGCCTGATCCTCCAAGAATAAGGTGCACTAAATTGCAAATGAAATTTTGTTTTGTCACGTGCAATAGGTCGGTATGTTTTAATAATAATAATAATTGAACTGTACTGATATATCTTCTCAGAACACGCTGTTGTTCAATAAAGGTACATTTGAAGATCATTTGAGCTGAGAACATTACACCTTTAAGCTTCACTATATGGCCCATTTACGATTAAATGCATAATTAAAAAAATTATTTCCAAAGTTGAGAGGAACATGGCAACCAGCGGACCTCCAAGGGTAACGGCAGCCAGGTTTAATCCTAGCGCCTCTGCAGCAGCCCTTTCTCAGCATAGCCGTGTGTGAAGGCTATGATGGCGATATTTTTGTTTTATTTGGCAAAACGTTCATTTGATTTGTGTTTATTTGACTGTGTTAATTATTATTCCCCCACTAATTGAAAAAAGTTAGAATTTCTTATTATCTAGAGACTATTAATAACAAGAGGTAAAACACAGCTTCAGACGAGCTGAGGGTGTGGTGACGTCACAAGTACGGTTCTGGTCCAATCGACCCATTTTTATGCTGCATGCTCCCGTTCTTCCCGAGTCCATACTTTTGTTCTTCTCAAGAACATACTTGGCGAGGACACAAGTCTGTACTCGCATTCTAGTGAATTGAGAAACGGCCGTGTGTTCTGCTTGCCGTTTGAGAGTGGCTGGAAAATAAAGATTCTAATCAATGTAGTTGGAGGTCATGATAAAATAATCAAAATTATTCAAAAAATAAAAATATCAATGCCCAGTAATATCTATAGAACATTTTATATTGCTAGCCTAATTTCTAAGGGCTAATGCTAAAAAAAAAATTGATGAAGTGCTGAAAATAATTAAGGTTAAATATAGATAACACAGGGTTTGCAGTCTTAAAAAAGGAGCAAAGATACAAAACAATGCGCAGGAAAAGATGGAAGGATGGATGGTAAATGTTCACTTTTGCATATCCTCCAGCCATGAATTTTGCACAGTTTGATCATTAAAATACTATCTGAATATTGATTAAGGGCAAACATGCATAAAAAGGTGTTTGGATACACCGTCTGCTGGGTTGCAAATCAGGGTTCCTACAGCATAAGGCAAGTTAGTTTAGTTTTAGTTTAGTTTATTTAGGATCCCCATTAGCTGTAGCAAGCTACAGCTATTCTTCCTGGGGTCCAACAACAAAACATGAAATAAAAAAAAATTACAAATTAAATAAAATTATGTGGACATTAAAACAACATCTCCCATAATCTATACATATACATATATACATACACACATATACACATACATATACATACCCATATACATAAACAGAAACAATCCAAACTAATCAAAACAAACTACAAAGCACAGCAAGTGAAGAAGACAGTCCTAATCGTGTTTTACCTCTATATTTAATAAATGTTCTTTCAATGATTTTTTAAATTTCCTTAAATCAGTTATCAGTTTAATGTAATTCGGCAGTAAATTCCATGCTTTCATACCTCTATACATAACAGTTCTTTTTAAGGCATTTGACTTTACTTTAGGCAAACTAAAGTTTCCTTCAGTCGCATGCCTAGTCCTGTATTCGTGATTCTCTGAACTAAAAGTAAGGTTTGTAAATAACATATAAGGTGTTTTTAATACAGATATGTTTCTAATCATAACAGTCAATGAGTATGAAAGTCTGTCTTTAACCAACAACCAGTTTAACTTTTTATGCATTGTTATGATATTTGTCCTTAAATCACACTTCAATATTATTCGGGCAGCTCTATTTTGTACACGTTGTAGTTTATTTAGCATCTCTCCAGGGGCATTTGACCAGACGACTGGGCAGTAATCCATTTGAGAAAAAATCAATGATTGGATTATCATTTTAAGAATATGTGGGGACATAAAGGTTGCATGTCTTCTTATGACTGTGATTCCTCTACCCATCTTTGCAATCATGTTATTAATATGTTTTCTCCATAATAACGTGTTATCCACCGTCACTCCCAGAAGCTTGGACTCATGCACATTCCTTATCGAGACGTTATTGATATTAATATTCAATATATGATTACTGTTTACGTTGTAATTTGACCTCACAATCATGCTGTTAGTTTTTGCTGTATTCAATACCAGCTTATTTGCTTTCACCCATTTATCCACTCCCACTAGTTCGTTATTCATAATAATTTCTAATTCATTATTTGTTCTTGCTGATGTATATATAGTGGAATCATCTGCATACATAATTATTTTAGTTTTTTTGAGTATGTATGGTAAGTCATTAGTAAATATTGAAAATAATAAAGGACCCAGGCAGCTCCCTTGAGGTACACCACATGTTACAGTTTGTTTTTCAGAAAATGCACCATTAAAATATACCGTTTGCGACCGGTTAGTTAAATAACTGTAAAACCAAGTAAGTGCAGATTGTTCAAAACCATAGCAGGAAGGTTTTTCTAATAGTAGATGGTGGTCAATTAAATCAAAAGCAGCTGAAAAATCTAGAAACACAACTCCCACCATATCTTTTATTTCAAAACTCCTAAGCCAGTCATCAGACATACTAATTAGTGCTGTTGCTGTAGAATGAGCCTTTCTATAAGCATGTTGAGAGTGACAAATTATGTTATTAATCGACAGATAATTATTAATTTGTTCATATACTATGGTCTCTGTTATTTTTTCTAACACAGGTAGTAGACTTATCGGACGACTATTTGAGCTGGAAAAGGGCAGTTTCTTATTTTTCTGTAATGGGATTATTTTGGCTGTTTTCCAGGCTTGTGGACACACTGAAGACATAAAACTTAAATTAATAATGTGAGTAATTACAGGAGCGATTTCATCAGCAACCAATTTGAGAAGTCTGACATCCAGTTCATCAACACCCGGTGGTTTATCTTTGCACTCTTTCAGGCAATCCTTTACCCTCTGCAAGTTAACCATTTCTAATTTAAACTTGGACCTTTTCCCTTTCATTATTTCGTTTCTTATTAATAAGTGAGATATTTCATTACTTAGGTTAGGCATATTTTCTCTTAGTTTTGCTATTTTACTAATGAAATAATTATTTTAATAATTAGCAATTTCTCTAGATCCAGTTATGAAGCCATCATTTGTCTCAAGGAATAATGGATGCGTTCTATTTTTCCTACCTGTCAAATCATTAACTATCTTCCACATTTTTTTGCAATCATTCCCCGCCTTCTTTACTCTATCTTCATAATAATTCTTTTTTTTCTTTTTATTTAGCTTGGTCACAGCGTTTCTTGTTTTCCTATAGAGGCACCAGTCTTCCTTATTACCAGTTATAATTGCAGTTTTTTTCATTTGGTCTCTCATTTTCATAGCTTCTTTCATTTCTTTGTCCAGCCATGGTGTTTTCGATGTTCTGACGGTAAACCTTCTCAAAGGTGCATGTTTCTCAATCACAGGTAGAAATAAATCATCAAACTTTGACAGTGCAAGCTCAGGATTTCTTTCAGTCAACACTTTAGACCAACATATTTCTCTCACATTGTCAACAAAAGAATAAGGATTGAAAGATGCATATGATCTCTTAAAAATTATTGTAGGTCCTTGCCTATCTACCTTATTGTTTTTTTCTACTATAATCAGATTATGGTCACTGCTTCCAATAGGGACCGATGATATCTTGTTAACTGTTTCTGGAGAGTTTGTAAAAATGTGATCAATACATGTAGCTGTTTTAGTACCATCTTTTTTTACACATATTCTTGTTGGCTTATTCATAATTTGATCAAATCCACCTGCATTAGCTCCAATTTGTATCTTATTCTTCAGTGGACAGTTATGAGCAAACCAGTCAATGTTAAAATCTCCAAGTAAATAGACATCCAGACCCACATTCATATTAGCTAACATTTCACAGATTGTGTCAAGATATTCATTGTTAGAACTTGGAGGTCTGTAACAGCAGCCTACTAGTATAGGCTTTCTGTGAGGAAAATAAACTTGTAACCATAATATTTCAATATTATATTTCATCATGTCAGTACACATTTTCACAGGTAAATGATCTTGAATGTAAAAAGCTACTCCACCACCATATTTATTTCTATCGTTTCTATAAATGTTGTAACCCTTTATATGTAATTCACTATCTTCAAAGGAGGAGTCTAAATGAGTCTCAGAAATAGCAAGTATCTTCAGCTTATGTTCTTCTAACAATTCAGCTATATCATTTGTTTTGTTTCTTAGACTGTTTATATTTATATGTGCATTAGTTAGTCCACTTTTTAGTCGCTTGTGTTGGGATGTCATTGCCATATATTTTAAGAAGCAGTCCTGTAAGCATATTTCCGTTTGTTTATCCTATCTTGGGGTGCTGGTAAAAATTCAAGACTTTTTAAGATTTTTTAATGCCATTTGAAATAAAAAATGTAAGACCAAATTCACAAAAAACACAAGAAAAACCTGCTTGCGACAACTTAACCCAAAGGTTTATTTTAACATAAACCACTGCACTAATGTTTCAAATTTTGAAAAACTTCCCATACAGGAAGAAAGCTAAAAACACACAAATGACAGATATATTTTAACAATTATTTAACTGAATTCACAAACTTTGTTTTAGCAGGGAACAAAACAAATCAGTTTTAAAGCCACAACATAACCAGTGCTAAGTCTTTTTTGAAGCTATTTTTCTTTGTATCGTTTTCTTAGTATGTTTGATTTGGTGATAAGTGGAGGCGTTGCAGAGACAAGGGTGGAACTAAACTGAGAAATACCGGCTGTTTCTCGGTAACTCGATTTTGACGCTTTGTGTTTCGCGATTCGCATGCGACTCCACTGCCTTAATTCCCATTGTTCTGAGCTTGAACGACTTCTTGCACAAAATCCACTGAGCCTCATGTATGTTCCCTGGTTTTAGCCATGGAGAAAACTCTTGGCTGGAGCCAATTTTCATTATATTTACACTTGCTCATATTTTCCAGACAAAAAGTAAACGGCGCATCTCCCAAATGTCCCGGCCGCAACAACGCTTTTATTGGTTCCGCCATCGGGACGAAACCAATAATGGCGAGCCGTTATTTTTTTTTTAAATAATAAAAAAAAATTGCCAATTTTAAAATTTTATTTGGATTACAAAAATAAATTGTAATAAAAATAATCCTATTTATGATGATTTAAAAATTAAGACCTAAAAGAGACTAATTTAAGACATTTCAATACCAATTAAGGCCTTACTTTTATTTTGAAGAATTCAATGCCTTTTAAGAATTTTTAAGGACCCGCGGGAACCCTGGTTTAACACATGAAAACAATGCTTGTAGGAACATTGATATTCTTGATCATTCAAAAAAATGACTTCTCTAACTTTCTAGAAAGAAACAATCTCTATGTTCACATTGGAAAATTCTCTGGATTCACTGTTTATCTCTCAGGGTCCCAAAGCGGATGGTCACACTAGAATAAAAAGTCTCATCCCAGCTGGGATTAATCAAACTTTATTTATAAAGTCCTTTTCATAAACACAGCAGTGCTTTAAAGGGTTAAAAATATTTCGACACGAAACCACAAAACCCCCAGAGTAACAGGGACACTAAGAAGGTTAAAACTGACAAAAAAAAGTTCATGTTCATGATGTGAAGAAATAAAATGCATTCACTGAACAACTGTAAATAATCTGGGATTCATTTAAAACACACTAAGATCATCGATGGGGTTGTGACCAAATGTGGAAAAGTTAAAGGGGTATGAATAATAATAAGAATAAATTAAAATAAAGGATCTTAAAACTGGGTAGTCAATTTGTTTCTGTTTTTACATGACTTATTTTTTAAGTTTTAAAATGTTACTCCTCTTAATCAATTTTATCTTTTGCAGCAGCTTATCGCAAATGAAAATTGGATTTTAACTGCCTTATCATCGGGATTACAGTTGGTTAGTGCAACCTCTGCCAACATGTAGGTAACGGTTGAAAGCTGGCGCTGACTTCTCTCATCACGTTTCCTGAATGAGTCGGCCTACATATAAAGTCTCAGATGGTTGAAAGAGCAAAAAGGCTTCATAAAACAGAGAGCCAGACCTCAGTAAACAATCAAACAAAACCACAAGCAGCACAGAGAGGAGAACGTCCACACAAAGAGAGTCATAATTGAGTAAAGTGCGTAATGGAAATAAACAGCTGCAAAAACAAATCTATTTATATAACTTGCTTGAGAAAATGCTCTTCTAAGTAAAAGAAAGATAATGTTTCTAACTCGAGGGGGACTCTGTCCTCTACCTGCATGCTGTGTGCGATCTCCTCACGGTCAGACAGGATCTCTGCCAGGTTCTTGGTGCCCAGGACGTTCCTCAGGGTGGTCTGAGCCAACAGACGGGTGGCGGCGTCCGCGTTGGTGATGTTAGCTACAGCCAGGGTGGCGTTCTGGACCCGGTAGTACACCACACCATCAACACTCACGGTCACAGAGTCTTTGGTCAGAACCTTAGAGAAAGGAAGGTTGGATCTAAATAACTTCTGTTAAAAGTTAAAATATTTCTGGAATTCAATTCAAAAGAGAATATTTCTGTTGGTTTCGATGTTGTTTCTCAGATTTTAATATAACATGTTTTTAAGACAGAATATTTAGTTCTGTACACAGCGACAAAGTAGGCCTTAAAACCTGAACTAGATGATGGATCCAACAATAATACTGGAAAGCTAAGTGGAAGGAAAAACTGTGTTAAGGAAAAAAAATGCAGTTTAACATTTTTTTTAAATGGTAATTTCTTATATTAAGTCAGTGATTTAAGAGCCACTACACTGAGATGTAACTTAAAATGTGTTCTAGAAAGCAGATTTTTTTAATTTTATCTCCAAGTCACAGCCATCAAAATCAGAAAAAATAAATGCTTAAAATGTATCCTGTGTGGAATAAATGTATGTTTCACTCCACAAACTGAATTATAGTAGAAAACAAACTCTATGACCCTTGAAGTGGGAAGGATGACTGTCATACCTCTTGTGGTGGGATGTCAAAGGTGATGGTACGCATGTCCACATTAATGAAGCTGTCAGTGCATGGTAAGATGAAGAACAACCCTGTGAGTACAACAAGAATGCAAACAGTTTTGATAAATATTGAAGTCAATGCAACCACTGTATTATAGAAGCCTAACAAAAATGTTTGGAAACACCAGAAAAAAGGAGCTTCTGAATGGAGGAAGTTAAAGTGAGCTGGTTCAACTTCAGCTGTGCAGACCGTGAGGTAAAGCTGTGATCCTAGCAGCGCTATCAACCAGTTTAGGTCTTTTTATGACTAAAATAAAGTAGTAACTGGCCAGCATTTAAATCCATGCTTTTGCATTGGGGACCACATTATCATACAATCACTTGTAGCAGCCTTAATTTCCTGTCCCAATATCTGGTGAAACATTTATAGCAGGGAGCTGAAACACACTGCAAGGATTTAAAGACATAAAAAATAGAGAAATCAAATTTTTTTGGAGGGATAAGGATAATAAAGGATGAGATGTATGTGTTGAAGAAACAAAAGGCTCACCTGGGCCCTTGGCTCCTCCTTTCAAGATGCGCCCGAGTCGAAAGATAATGGCTCGCTCATACTCTTTCACAATCTGCAGCGAGGAAACAAAAAACAAAGCACACTGTTATAAAAAACACACTTTAAGAATCATATTAAAAGTTGACGGATCTAGTTAGGCTTTTATTTCTAGGCTAAAAAAAATTCAGATAACCATTAGAGTGTGACACAGAGTCAATACTGAGAAAAACCTTTCCAGAGGATCTGCCATAAAAAAGCAGGACTTTCATAATAATGTAGATGGTGAAAAAAACAAAACATAAAAAAAATAAAAAAATAATACAGCCAGGAATTGCCATCAAAGCGAGGACCTCTATAAAGGACAGGTTTGTCAGTTTACATCCTTCGGACACACAGGGGGATGTTGAGAGAATTACAAAAAGGAAAAGTCTCATTAAAATAGTTAATCTTTTAAGAAAATTCCCAAGGTTTAGAGAAAGTGCAACCCCCAAGAGGTCAAGAAGGTTATGTGTCTCAAAATATTTGAACTATTTCCTTTGGAAATATGAGACTAAAGAAGATGCCTGACCCAGGGTCCTGCGTCGGATCTGGCCTGTACAAAAAGATCATATATGGGTAGAAAAGGCCCATATTATTTCACGGATATGCGGTAAATGATCAAAATGTGGTCAAGTATCATACAGAGTTAAAGCATGAATGAAACATATTTATATATTATATAAAATAACTTGATTCAAGAATTTCGGGGAACAGTCGGTTCTCGGTTGTGAGCACAACGGGTGCAGCAGATTCAGTTTTGAAAAATCTGACCCGGACTGTCTGGCCACTGAACAGTGTTCTTAGAAACCAAACACAGCAAATTAGCAAAAAGTATGATGTAAGTCTTCGAGCATGAGGTAGGTCTAAGTTTCACGACCTTTCACTGCCCTTTCTAGCATTTTAGAGTCAAATATGAGGCCATCTGTCCAAGAGGCAGAACTCGATCCATCAGCAGGACAACTTAAAAAAAAAGGCGCTAATCTACTGATGTCTGTAAGAGAAATGAATCAAGATGTCAAAGCGTGTCAATCAAGGTAGAAGCGACTGAAATGGTGTCATGGGAACCCTGAGAGAGCTGTTAAAGAAATGACCACAAACCACAAGGCAAAACCGCATGATTAGAGCGAAAAATGCATTTAAAAAAAAATCCCGCAAACTGACTGTCATGAAAAGTTAAGGCAGGGTGATTGGTTTGAAAACTGTGTCAAATGTAAGTCCGTGGGCTAAAATCTGCAATGCATGAAAACACTTCTAATAAACTTACTAACAACATGATTTCTTCCATCACAACACACAGACAGTTCAAACTGTAAGAATCCTTAAAGAAATTGTTAGGAGTCAGTAGTACAGAATTAAAAATGGAGGTCTAATTAACCTTTGAATTACTCAAAGACAGATAAACTTTTAGGATGCTATTTATTTACTCCATTATATCACATAGTGTTTGATTTAAAAACAGGCCTTATTTATAGAGAGCTGACCTTAATGCACATCCATATGGAGAGGGGGAGAGTGAGTAGCATCAGGAGGAGAGAAAGTCCGACCAGCAGCCAGCCACACAGGCCAATTCCAGAATCTGGATTCTCCAGAGCTAGAAGAAAAAAAAAAATGGACACACACAGACATGCTGTGAAAACAAATCTTCATCCTTTTCTGAGGTTTTATTTATCAAAGAAAACGTAGGATCTATACTCAAAGTGTACATATGTAAGTAAGGATGTTTCAGATTTATCGAACCATGCGCATGCACAAAACAAGCAAGTTTCCGTTAGTCCAACCAAAACAAAGCATGAATTGTGTATTTAAATAAGCTGTTTGTTTAATGTTGTGTGTCCTGGTTATGGCAACCACAGGGGGGAAAACTAAAAAAGTAAGGTGAAGAGTCGGATAGATTTGTTTGGTAGCAACTAGGGCTGCACGGTTTTGCCGAAAAATCTAAATTATGATTATTTTCAACAAAAATTATGTTTTTTCTTCAAACTTGTAGATGTTTCACCCCAGGCTTTCAGTTTGTGAAAGCTTGCCTTCCCAGAGTCCATTGTTGCAGGTCTTTACTGTAAAATTGGATAAAAATAAAAAAAAGTATTCCATTATTTGCATGCATGGATGCAGTTTTACTGCCACCTAAAGGGCTGGAGTAAAAAAAATTAGGATGATTGAACTGAGTGTCTCTGTGATTAGAAAATTGCGTTTTGTTAAATCGTGATTATATTTCAAATGCAATGAATTGCTCAGCCTTTGTAGCTGGGCAAGACAAATCAAAGGACATATTATGAATGGAAACAGAGACAGACAGATCGTATCAAGGACTTCAGGACGACAGAAAGTATGGTGCTTTGAGCTTAAAGTTTCTTTAGGCATAGGTAATCAATAGTTGATTACGTTTAATAGTAGATCCAGGAACCCCAGAGTGGTTAACAGCTGTAATTCTGAACAAAGTAACAAATGGCTAGAGAAGCACTCAGATAGTGCAGACCTCCATAAAGCAGCTAATTTTGACCAATATTGTGATTTAAGCCTGGTTTATGCTCAGATAGCAGGTCCTTTGCGTGTGTCGCGAAAATTGTAGGTGACCACAGACAGAGCCGCAGAAAGCGTTGCAGGGAGAAGAGAAAGGATCGGTCAATTCTACATCCGCTCTACACTATTTGTTTATACATGTTTCACTATGCATTTCCTGTTTAGTACCTAATGGCAGAAACTACAGCTGTAGTGCTGTCCACAACGCATGGCACACCTCGGAAACTACCCCAGACACCGTACAGGACGCCGATTTTACTTCTGTCTCCTTGAACCCCAGTCGGCCTCAGCAGATGGCCGCTCACACTCAGCCTGGTTCTGCTGGAGGTTTCTTCCTGTTAAAAGGGAGTTTTTCCTCTCCACTGTCGCTACAAGCATGATTAGTATGATGGATTGCATTAGAGTCAATGAGTCGATGCAATCAACTGGTTGTCCTTAGATAGAAAAGTTTGAATCAATTTGACTGGATGATCTGGTGAACTGTAAAGTGCCTTAAGATGACATGTGCTGTGAATTGGCGCTATAGAAATAAACTGAATTGAAATTGAACTGAATTAATTTGTAGCTCTGTGCTACGGTCTGTTGCTGTGCACTCAAAGCAAAAAATGCAGCACCACGGCCAGTCTTCCAGGAACACTAACGGGTGAACTGTGTGTCATATGGCATTGGATGAGGGGTTGTAGACGGTGAACAAGCTTGTCAAATCGACGCACGGACACCCGTAATCCCAGCTAGTTTGTGATGGTCTCTCTCACATTGTGATTGGGCATAAATCAAAAACATCTGCATCATATCTATGATGAGCTAACTGCAACACACTGCTGTGGAAGTGTACTCACAGCCCGTTACACCTATAGCTAAAACTCACATATGACCTGGATCATTAAAGCATTTTCGTGATGTGTTCCTAGGCATGAGGCACAAATCTGTTAACTAGTTTTCAAGTAATCCTGCTAACAAACCAACAAACAAACAGCCTTAAAAACACAGTGTACCTGCAGCCTCTGGTGCCTGTTCTGCTCTCCCCTTTATCCGCTCTGCTTTCTTCTTTAGGCATTCATTACGTCAGCTTATCAAATTCAGATGTTTTATGAATTATGTACGTATAGATGCATGGATCATCTTGAATCTTTAACTGCGACCTGAAGTTGCATCGGTTTTTCACTATGACTAGGCAACTAATCGATAAAATTGCGACACAGACACCAGAGGCTGCAGACACACAGTTTTGTTTATCAAATTTTCTGTTTATGAAGATTTCATTTTTGAAAATTATGGACTGCACGCAAACTTAATGTTTGATAGATCCTAACCTTTGTGTGGAGAATGAGGTGGGCGGGTTTCAGGTCTCATTTTGTGCCTAGGCAAGTTCGATAAATCGGAACCCTTGGCTTTTTACTAAACATTCGCCCTAGATCATTCATGCTGGTAGTTCTATAAACACCCCTAAACATAAACAGTTGTATTTCTTTTTTGTTCCCTGTTAGTAAGGATTAATTTCACCTTCAACCATTTTCAGTTTGATTTTATGTTAGGCTACACCCAGACATTCAGAGTTATTGATAATGAAATGCACTAAGACAGTGGCTGAGATCCATACCTTCAACATCATATGAAGTGTAACGGCCTGGACCTACAGACAAAGTTAGAAGTCAAAACGCAGTCCAGCGATGTACAACATGCCCCAAAGAAACTAGAAAAGTGCCAATGCAGCTATGCAACACTTTTTATAGGAGAGGGGGAAAGGAACGTCAACAACAATTTAAGATAACATAATGTGGACACCAGATGCATGGAAAAAATAGATGACAGCGGGAGTTCTATTTCTTTCTTCAAGCATCTCCTATGATTATACAGGAAGTATGACAGATTAAAATCACACACCAACTTTGTTTTAGTTTAACGAAATCATATTACCAATGATTGGAGAGCCTGATGCACATTTCCTGTATTTTGTACTGAATTAACAATAATCTATATATTCAATAGCAGTGAAAGGTTAAAGAATGGATGGCTAAATTATAGCCACAGCTGTCCTGGGGCAGGCTGGCAGAAGTGGGACAACTGTAGCATCGTGCCGCTGTGCCCTCTGGCCGTTGGGGTTTGAATAAGACAAAATTCTCCATCCTAATCCACTGTACTGTCAGAACAACTGCTTTTTAAACTATAGGACTTTGGATTTCCTTTCACAAGCTACTGTGAATGGTTTGCTGAATCGTGACCCACTTTTCTTGACATAAGAGGGGCAAAGGAAACACATTTGTTAACCAGTTGTTTTCACACTCCTGTTATGTTCTGACTTGAACTGCTTTAGAAGTGCAACACCATCCTGCAGCAAAACAAGCCACACAACATGATGCTGAACCCCCTTCCCTTCATACTTCACAATCAGGAGGGTGTTCTCAATCTGAGTACTGCGTATATATAATGCAATCAAAGTTGTACTGGTACTCAATTTCTCAGCTGTAACCAGGTTTTCTATTCAATTACTTTGTCCGAGACTTAAAAACCTATTTTGTGAGTACATTCTTCTTGTACCTGGTGTTGGGATTTTTTTAGTTCCCCAGTAGAAAATGTAAACTTCCCCCTTAATTAGGGTGACCAGACGTCCTACTTTTCATACCTAAAAAAAATGCCCGGGGGGAATTTCTAAATCTTCCGGGATTTTGGCCGACTACAGTCCAGCATATATTCAAAACACACACCGGGTACTCGGAACCGAGCCATCAGCTGCGGAGCCGGGAACCCTGGCGGACGGGGGCAGGGAGCCAGCGGGGGACGGAGCGACCGAATCCGACCCGTTGACACTAGCATAGACACCGGTGGCCCCGTGCCTGAACTTACGGGGCCCCCAGCCCCCCTCTCCTCCGGCTGATGATGGGCTCTCATGGTTCCTCTCGCGCCCAAAAAAGGGTCCTCTTTTTCAGAAACCCAAACCTGGTCACCACACCTTATTTTGGAATAGCAATTTCCTTAATATCCAATGGCTGCCACCCATATTAAATGTCTTGAGTGAATCATCTATTGAATCAATCTGAACTTAGCTTTAGTCTGAGCTATCAAAGGGACACGGTTAGGTATGATTAACTCACTTTATCCTATACTTCAGTTTCATTTCTGCAAAGTAAAGATTTTATACCTATGCCTAGCCTTTGCATCAGTAGTTAGGGCTGGAAAAAAATTATACAAATCGATTAATCCACTTTTCTGTTTACGAATATTACATTTTTGGAAAATCAAGGTGTTTTTTTCCAACAGTGCTCTTCGTTTTGTTATATTTTCATTGTCTGTTTCAAAACATTGTTTTAAAACTGTTTTCCACAGCTTAATTTTTGTTGCTTTACATTAAGGTCACCCATCAGCAGTCAGCTTTGGGAGAACAAGTTAATGCATATTAGTCTACAATAACAGCACATTCCTTAAAATAAAATAGACAAAAGCAAACTAAGAGAAAACAGTTGGTCGTCAAATCAGGCACAAAACAGCCCACAACTTTTAAATTGCCATATGAATGGAGATAAACAAATAATAGTCAAATATTTTAAAATGTTTGCTGCTCTAGCATTGGCACTCTTAACCCAGGGTTTAAATGCTTAACGTAACTAATTCGATCAATTTAGATTACATTCACGGTAATCCAATTTACTTCTTATTACGCAGTTTAACTGAAACCTTGTTGTAAAGCTTCATTTATAAACAACACATGCAATTTTCTCCCATTCCAAAGAGTCTCTTTAACAAAATTCGTCACAGAAGTCGTTCTCTTTATAATATAGCTTTAAAACACTTTTATTTTTACTGAACATTTATTTTTTCTTTAATTTAGGAGAACCTTTAGGTTATAAAGCCGAACCTGATATTATCGCTCATGCAATTTTCTCACATTCTACTAAGTGTTTAGTATTCTATAAACATCGCAGAAGGTCGACTAAAAATAGTCGTATTCTATGTATTATAGCTTTATTACATTAAATTCTAACTGTTTTTTCTCTATTTTTTTACTCTCACTTATAAAAAGTAGGTAATGCTACCGTTAGCTTTCAGAACACTGAGCTGTCGGTAAAGCAACTGCTTTATTTGAAATAATAAAGCTAGTATTACATTATGTAAAAGTAAAACTCTAGGTTTGTACTTTATATTTTTGAAGGAATGAAAAACAGGCGTCCATATGTGCATTGTGTGGACCGCTGAGGCTGCAGCCTGAAAACCGTTGATACATTCTTATTTTATTTAATGCAATTATTGATCCACAAAGTGGACCGAGCCTCACCGGACTGGCGCTCCCTTCTTTTGGATTCTTTCATCGAAACCACTTCGTTGTCGCTGTCCATGATTTAGACCGACGGAGATATCCTTGGATTTCTACAACAGTTCTGTAATGATCTTCGTACTGGGGTCTGACGCAATGACGCAGCACGTATTTTCTTTCCTCGAGAAGTGGGCGCGGCCCCCTTTTTCTTTTCTTTTTTTTTTTTCTTTTTTTTACTTTATTGATTAGAAAACATTCATTTACATTTTCAAGTGGGAATGATACGGAAGAGGATTAGAGCCACTAAAGAAAACTAAGGAGTTAACTGATTTTAAAATTTTATTTCAGTATAATATGAGAAAAGTCAGAATTCTGACTTTTTTCTCAGAATTCTGGCTTTACTCTCAGAATTCTGACAGCTAGCAAACATGTTAGCATCAAGCCATAGCCATGTCTGTTTTAGAGACTAAACTAGCTCTCTTGCTAGGGCATGTAAAAAGTCACCTAATTCCGTCATTTTCCTCCAATGTGTCACTGGCCCTCTCAACCAACTCACATCTTTGTCATTGAAGCTGAATGATCCTACATCTCTTCTTTCATGGTGCCCATCTACATTAAGATAAAAAATTCTGAGATTAAAGTCAGAATTCTGAGAAAAAAACTGAAATAATATTTAAAAATCAGTTAAATTATTATTATTTCAGTGGCATCAATCCTCTTCCGTAGAATCTCCACTTTTCTTTCTTACAAAAAATAGAAAATATCATATACAGGAGATCAACTTAACTTGTGCAAGGCAACAGAAATAAATAAATAAACAGGCAGTAATATTACAACCAATGGAAACATACAAAACTAAAAAAAAAACATTTATTAAAAGAGACAGACTCATTCTGCAACAAGACAGTTCCTTGCATCACGTTAGCTTTAGTATTTTGTTGAGTCAAAAAACAAGAAATTTTGATATGTCACTACAAAGCTTTAGTATAGGTCCATATTTGTCGGCTAACAGAGATAAAGATGAATAGAAGACTTTGATTTCGTTTTTGAAACGTATTAATGAAGTTTGTTTTGATTTTTCCATTTACATAAATGTATATGATATCTTCCCATACTTATAACAATATTGACCATGTCGGATAAATCCTTCACAATGTCATTCTTGTATGTTAATATTTGATTTATATCAAAAGGTGTTATATTATCTATTTTGTTACTTAACAAAATATGCAGGTTCTGCCAAAAGCAACCTGTGACTCGAATAGTAGAGATGTTCAATAGTTTCTGGTTCTTCAAGGCAAAATACGCAGGCATCGACTTCAAATCCAATTCTTTTCTTAAGAGTTTCTGCTGTTGGATAATAATTATTAATAATTTTATATTAAATTTCTTTTACTTTTGGTGGAATTGGCCATTTTGAATATTTAAAATATTGTTCTATTACCTGAATCATTAATAATTCAAATTTTTGTCATTCCAGTAAAATTATGAAAGGTTTTATATTTCAAGGCTGTTTCTATAAATAAAATGAAGTGCGCTGCACCTTTCACACACAGACAGCCAGTCACGTGCTGCTGCTTTCCTTTGAATAAGTAGCTGCACATGAGGGGAGCAGTCATGTGTTTTTAAAGCTAGGTTATTTAGGCCAGTTAATCTGTTTTAATTGCTTAGCTTAAAAACACATGAAATACCCCCATAAAGGACATTTCATCCCATCTCTGCGAGTTCTGGGCCAAAACATTAAAAATGACCCCTCACACCTCCACCATGGACTGTCCCCCCTGCTGGGAAGAGGCTTCGGAGCATTAATGTAGGACAGGCAGGTTCTGCGACAGTTTTCTTTACCCCTGGGATTATTAAAGTATTTCTGATTCTGATTCCTGGTTGATAGGACAGGTGTTGTGAATGAAACGGTGCCCAGCTTGAAAGAGCTCCTGTGTGTCGCTAAATGTGTGCATTGATGACTGAAAGACATCTTCTGCCTCCATTTATCTGTTTACTACAGTGTGTTGAATTCATGTTAATGTGGGTTTAAAGACATTTCAATTAGTGTAAAAAAAATTGCAGGGGGGAATATAAAAAAATGTATGTGAATGTAATCTAAATTGATTGAATTAGTTACATTAAGTATTTAAACCCTGGCTTAAGAGTGCCAATGCTAAAGCAGCAAACATTTTAGAATATTTTACTATTATTTGTTTATCTCAATTCATATGACAATTTAACAGTTGTGGGACCCTCTAGGAGTCACAGACCCACTGTTGAAGACTTTCGCTCTAAATCATGTCACATACTCTTAATTGCGCTGATCACTCCGAACCAAAAACATTGCATATTTGCACCATATATATTAATGCTCTGAACTTCGATACCAATGCGTTTTTTTGCACCGTGTTTTTTTCTCCCGCCCTGTTTGCATTCGATCAGTGCTGCACTTTATGGAATGCAAATGTTCATTCATTGTCTGAAAAGCCGTAGTAAACGAAATTCTGTTTTTGTGTACACTCTGTGTATAAGGCTTAAAAAAAGCAAATATTTACACATTCATTTATCACAAGAAACCTATTTCTTTCTCCTGAAAGAATGACTGAAGACCTGTGACACAGAGCTATCTTAAAAAAATCATGCAGAAAGCTAATGTTTGCCTGCAACAAATGTGAGCAACAAAATGAATCTCCTAAACAAGCTGTATATTTAAACTGTGTAGTCTCCAAGAAAAAAATTTAGTGGAAGGAAAACATATGGTTGCATATACCAATCCAAACATAATATCCTGCAACAACTAGAGATTAAAAGTGGATCAAGTTAAAGGAATAATAACCTGTTATTTTATATATATATATGTTGTGCCATATGCCATGATCATACTTTTTGGACATTGGGAAGCAGTGTCCATATTTCATCCTGATAGGATGACCAGAGGAGAGAACGCAGCTTTGGTGGATAACAGCTGGGGGAATTCTGCAGCCCCCCCTTTTCAGCAAAAGCAGCCACCAGCAAGTCACATGGGAGCCACCAGAGGTGTGAAAACCTACCCCCTCCCTGTGAAGTCAGAGAAAACCACAGAGCACACAGGATTCTGCTCTTTTGCCTCTTCTCTCTTTCTCCCTCTTCTGACCCAGCCTGCTTCTGCTCCTGCGCTCAGAGCTGGGGCCCACTGTGGCCCACAGTGGAGATGCGGGCCCCAGGGAAACCAGATCCCCAGAACCATCAAGGATGAGTCAGAACTCTTCAGAACCTAACTGCTGAAAACAGAACTTTTGCAACACATTTCTCTTGAGTTTCAGAACTTACAGAGCCAAACTGGATGAGAACCATATCCTTGGGTGTGAGACTGAGGGGACCCCTGCTGTGAGACTGAGACAAAGAGCCCCTGACTGCAGAGCAGCAAAACTGGATGAAACTCAAGCTTTCCAAATGGACATGGAAAAAGGTTTGCAGGTTTGGCATGATTAGGGACAGAACAAGCAATGTGTCTTTTGATGATGCTAATCATATTGTGTGTTTACTGCTCAGTAAAGACAACGCTAATTGATGCTAAAGAATGGACTGCATGCTACGCTATGCTACAGGAATATGTGTTGAGCTGTTGCTAAAGCTTAGACAAGCTTTATTCACTAAGAGTTTAAACACTGATATAACATTAGTGTTCACGGGTTCCTCAGATGCTCATTACATTTCCATTGCCAAGTATGACCAAGAGTCATTTAGTGAGATCCTGATGTCTATTCGCTGCTAGCTATTTCAAGGAAGGTAAAGAATCATTTAACTAAAGGTTATTGGTTCTTGATTAAGCAAATCATTCAATAAAATATTATTTGGCCAAATAATGTTTTATTCACCTCATGGATTTGCATTGTGAATTGGTCTGAAAACATTCCAATTTCTTTAAAATTAGTGAAAAGCTAATTTGATCTTCCAGATTTTATTCTTCCAGATAAACTTTGGTTTCAAACACAGAATCCATCTTAAACTGTAATATGTTTTTCAACCGTTTCCCCCTTCCTCTTTTTACATAGTAGTTAGTTTAGTTTAGTTGAGTTTTACTAGTCTTAGTTGAGAGTGTTAAACTGAAATACAGTACGTTTGACTTGGGGCTGAAAGATTTTTGTTAATAAAATCTTATATTTTGAACAGAAGTTGTGGTGAATTTATTCCATGTATGTGCAGAAATAACTGTTTGACCATGATTAGTGCTCGAATCACTCTTTCATCTATTGTTCTAACACACAGTTAGTAGGACAGTGTGTCATAAACAGTATATAACAGCTGAAATAATATCTGATTAAATAAGATATTTTAACACCCCTACAGGGGAGGGCAATAAACATCTTAAAGTATCAGAAACATAAATTCCCAGCGGGCTGGGAATAGAATTTAACTATAGAATCACAACATATACTAATCCCTCTGAAATGATCTTTTAATTAATGTTTAGTCATTTTTTGGATAAACATTTTGTGTCAGCAATATTGGCATCTGCAATGGTTTATTTATATGTTTTCCTGGTTTTTTACACGAAAGGTAAAAAGTTACACAAGCAGCAACACATACTGAATGCCTGCATTTAAATCCCTGTTTGTGTATTTCCGCTTATGGTGCAATAGAGACTGGTATAATGAAAGCAAGGTGGGCTAATGTTAGAAACCTTGCACGAATGACGTAAAGCATTTGTGGTATTTGCTCTGTGGACAGCGTTTCATTTTTTGCGCTCATAATAAAACCCAAGCTACTAAGGGAGTACTGACAGCTTTACTTTTAAAGGAAGAATTTTTCTTTGAGATTGGAAGAAAACACTTTTATTCTATAACAAATTAATGATCCATTGTCTTATCAGCATTATTTAATCATATTTACCTATAGGTGACTTTGAAAGAAATAGGGCCTTTATCTGAGGCCCAATGCCAAAACACGAGTTTGCATGAAAAAGTCCAATATCTAGGTGAAGAAATTTTGAAGTGCCTCTGGAAGGAAAAGTTAAGCATTGGCAAAGAGAAAGTGACCAAAAAGGTGAACAGGAAAAATGACAAGAAAACAACTAAATGGAAAAATTTCAAATAAATAACATTGTTTTAAAATAATTTTAGAACTGTTGTTGTTTTTAATTTAGTTTGCAAAAGACACCCACTGTTACGTTCCACAGTAACAGCTTGGGTTTTA